ATCTACGTTATAAAATTATAAAAAAATATATATAAAAGATAGAAAAGATAAATAGAAAAAGATAGAAAAGGTAGAAAATAAGGGTAGTAAAGATAGAAAGAATAAATATTGAAGGTAAAAAAGGTAGAAAAGATAGATAAATAGAATAGAAAAGGTAGATAATTAGAGTAGAAAAGGTAGAAAAGATAGATAAATAGGATAGAAAAGGTAGATAATTAGAATAGAAAAGGTAGAAAAGATAGATAAATAGGGTAGAAAAGGTAGAAAAGGTAGATAAATAAGGTATAAAAGGTAAAAGAGGTAGAAAATAAAGGTAGAAAAAGTAGAAAAAATAGAAAATAAAAGTATAAAAGGTAGAAAAGATAGTTAAATAAGATATAAAAGGTAGGAAATGTAGAAAATAAAGGTAGAAAAAGTAAATAATAGTTATTATATAATTATTAAATGTATGTACTATTTTTATTAATTTGTTGTTTTGTTACTATTTTTGAAAATTTTCATATTTTCTACTATTTTTGAAAGATTTATTAATTATAGAATCATTAAAAATAAATGTAATAATAGTAACAAGAGATAAATAATATGATAATAATTAAGAATCAACTTAAAATAAAACAAAAGATAAATAAAGAGAAAAATAAGAGAAAAACAATAAAAAAATAAAAAGAAAACAAGAACATAAAACAAACAAAACAAAAATAGAGTAAATAAAAAAACAAAAAGAAACAAAACAAGATATAAGTTAAAATCATGATATAATCTTTTTAATTTATTTCAAGTCAATTCTCATGTTATATATAGCAAATTTGAGTTATACTAATCCATATATTATTTACATAGATAGATTATAAAGTAAAATTAATAAAAGTAAAGATTTATAACATGTTAGAACATGATAACTATTATGTAATATTAAAAAGAGATTTGTATAAAATCTATGTGTCACTAATTAAATTAATATAACAAAAGATTAAAATAAAGTACTAATAAAATTTAAAATATAAATTAATGTGAAATTATTATAGATTAATTAATTAAATAAATGATGATGAAATTTAAAAATAATATAATAAAAATGAAAAATAATTGAATAAAAATATTGATTATTGCTATTGGTTAATAATAGAAGAAAATTATAAGATATAAAAAATAAAAATAAAATAGTAGAAAAGATATTACTGCACTTTTGAAATTAAAAAAAATGATGAAAGATAAAATGATAACAATAATCTTGATCCAATACAGATAGCTTTTTAAAATTTAAAAAATTATGAAAAGTACTTGAAAAGAGGTGAGAGAGTTATTTAGATTTAATTCATTATAGATTATTTCTAAATTTTTTTCTTTTGATATAGTATTTTTAATTTATATTTATTTTTCAATCTTGTAAAACAATCATTATAAGTGATATATTCATATTGGAATCATTAGATTTGGGATGATAGAATTTAATTTTATTCTTTATAACTTTATAACAGATACATATTTTTATTTCAGATTTTTTTATAAATTCACAATTCAAGTTATTATTAAATATATTAATAATATTTACAGTATTTAGAAATTTGATACAATATTATTTAATAATTTGAATTTTATAAAAATATTGATCAAGTTTTTATATTTTTGATCAAAAATACAATATACTTGAGAGTGATAATATTAAGTAAGAAATTTTAAAGAATAATTAATCTTCTAAGTCTTTTAAGGACTAAAATATAATATAATTAAAAATAATAATATCTTAAATAAGAAAATTTTAAGAATAATAATAAAGCTTCTAAGACTTTTATTCTAATTTAGTTTTTTTTAATATTCTATATTATTTTATTTATTCTTTTTATACTTTTTTGAATATAAATAAAAGTTACTAATTGTTATAAATATTACAAAATAATTTTGACTTCAGCTTTAATTAATAATATGATTTTTAAAGACTAAAGATTTTGAATTTTAGTCTTAAATTATAAATAATTAGATCAGCCATTCATATATCTGATTATTTGTATATTATTAATTTATCTATTTATTTTTACATGAATCAGAATTATGTGTCTGTATATTTTTCTTCACTATGACTTAAGTACTTATTTTGTAATTATTGTAATTATTTTCTTTATTTATTTATTTTTTTTGGTAATAATTTCTTTTTGTTAATAATAAAAAATAAAAAAATTCTATTATATCTACAGGAGTACTAAAAAATTGTTATCATATTTTAAGAGTTCTTAAAAAAGCTAGAAAGTGCTTAATAATATTATAATAAGTTATTTAATTAGAATAATTATAGTAAAATTTATTAAAAATTATGAATAAAAGAGTATAATATAATCAAATTTATATAATATATTAAAAATTGACATTATGGTCGATTTTGCGTTCAAATCTCACGAATTATATTTTATACATGCGATAATGTGTAATATCACAATTACCGAATTACCGATCTGTAATTAGAATATGTCGGTAATTACCGAACCGTTACCGAAAATCTCGGTAAAATAACGGTTCGGTAAATTACCGATCGATTCGGTAAATTTCGGAGCCCTAAGTTTAACAAAAAAAATCTGACACACGAAAATGAAAAAAGCAAAAATATAAAAAATATAAAAAATATAGAAATAAATATTTAAATCTAGCTTAATATATTAAAAAAATAATTTTACATATAATCTTGATTCCAGCTCTACCTCTAATCCTAATTTTAACCTTTAAATTAACCTATAACAATAATTTTTAACAATAATCTTTGTTTTTTGGAAATTCAAATTTATCGTTATCTAAAATTTTCACGCTGAGCATTTTTGTCATATTACACATGATCTTGTGATTTTATTGGATAAATATTACGTAACCGAGTATTTTTTTATTGGTTATGGCTAGAAAAAGCCATTTTATTGGATAAATATCACGTGTTCTATTTTTTTGGTGGTTTCGGACATGCACAATTTTTCATCATGGCTAGGATATAACAATGATCTACACAGTAAACCTCCCGACTTAGAGAGAGGTTCACTGTTCATTGTGCTGTAGTTCAGAGCACCAAAGTTTGCTTTACTAACATGGAATCGGAGATATACAGTATATATAAAAAACCGAAATTACAATGTAACGTTTGAATGACCAAGAATCGGATTATGCAGATATACATCTGTGCATCATAAAATCTGGATATGGTATGATTATAATGGCAACAATATACGTACATGTAAATAGTAAATGATAGAGAATCCGATATGTTTTATTTGAAATTAAAAAAATGTTGCACATTATGGACTCCGGAGTTATAATGACGATAAACTATTTTCTGCGCATTGTCATTAAAAATCAGTGACCATGTATAATAAACAAACAAAAAGCCTCCATAAGAGAGGTGTGACTGTGCATATTCTTATCAGTCTTACTATATAAAGAAACTTAACATCATCATCACGCAACCAGCCATTAACGTTAAACGATTAGAATCAGGCCAACCAACATAATGATAAGCTATTTATAGATGTGCCAAGGATGTTATTATCATCACCATCACCATCGTTTGGAATTGGCTCTTTTCCTGCGCACTAACTACATGTATAAAATAAAGATTGTGTTGTTGGTCTTTTTCTATTTGATAATTAATGTGTTGACACAAAGTGATACAAAATTGTGTGTAACTTTTTAACTCTTTCTAAATATTAAATATTATTATAGTCCGTATCTCCGTGCTAGTTCTCACACACGTTTGGTTTCAGCCCCATCAAATAATTCTTATTTCTTTCTAGTGACAAAGAAAACCCCCTTCCTTTTTTTCTTTTTATTCATCTCAACTTTTTTTTATATACTCGAACATTGCACCTTATTTCACATCTAAATTTTTATTTTTAAACAACAATTGACAGACAGACAGACACAACACATAAAAAATGGCAAAAGTCTCATTATATACTCTCTTGTTACTACTCGTGTGTTTGCTTGGTAAGTTTTAATTTATTGTTTTGTTAACGTGTCATTTGCTGCGGATACTTAGTGGGTAAACCTGACGACGATACTTGAGCCTGTCCTATGCTTTTCATTTTCAAAGCGAAGAGAAATACTATTATTTCTCCACTATTTGCTATAAAAATAATATTTTGTTTATAATTATTAGTATAAATAAATATTAGTATATTAGTAAATATTCATAAATATTAATATATATACTTATTCTATTAAAATAAAAACATTTTAGTAATTGTACGAGCAACACCGATAGAAGAAATTGAAGACGTTTCGGACACAACAATTGACGTTACAGAGACTCAGGAATCTGCCACAAAAGAAAGTTTCACTGTCGAAATTGATCGTACCGATGACCTTGTGAACGAGGATGGTGAAATATTGGCTGAAAGATTAGAATCTGTCATTATTGAATTCGAATTGAATGATGACGAGGTATATTTAATAATCTATACGTTAATTTTTGTCCGTAATATTATTGTAATCATCCCAAATATTAATATTAGTATAATAATTATTTCATAGCTTCTTATAAATAACGTGCCAGTACAATTGGGTATCACCAGTGTCACAATAATTGAAGCGAAAATCATTTCTGTTGACAACGCCACCGACGATGTATCTGAAGAATTGGAAGATTCCTTCGACCTTGGTCTTGTGACTGTTGAAGTATCATCCTCTGCTGAATCATTCCCCACCGATGATCCTAGCGTGTCACTTCGTCGTGTCACCATCTCGACTCGCATCGTAGAAGTCGATGGTGTTGATGTTGTTCAAACTGATGCCGTTGAAAAGATCCTTGAAGTGAAGGTTCTCAATGTTCTTGATGATGATTCTGAAGATTTGGAATTTGTACCAATCTCTAGTAATAATATTGATATGCCATTGTCAACTGTCCACGGTGGTGATTGTATGTATTTTATTGTTAACATCGTTAATGTTCATCCGTAAGTAATATTTGATATTAATCACCACTCTGTTACAAAACAATAGCCCCACATTCTCCATGCTCTCTTAGTTCATTCGCTGGTCGTGTTCGTCATTGGTGGAGATGTTCATCTCGATTCACCCGCGTCATCATTGCCTCAATTTTCCTCACCTCTGTCTTTGGTCTCGTCTTCATTGCTCTCCCAACTGCCGCTCATTCTCTTATCCTCGCTGCTCGCCGACGTCGTGGTATCTATCAGCAAGTTGCTGTACACGAAGAAGAGGAACTCACCAAAAGCGAACAAGTAATTTATATCGCTGATGAGGAAAAGCGAGCTTTGATGGATCAAGACATCAAGCATTAAGAAAGTATTTCATATAAATAATAATTACATTTATCTCTTTCTGTTTATATATATAGTTCTCTTTTTCTTTATCCTACAACACATCTTGTATAAAAAATCAAATCATTTAGAACAATCTGTCCTCCTGATTTGTTCACTCATATTATTGTTAAAAGAGACGTCCTTTTGCCAGTCTCTCTAAAATTGTAGAGCAGCATAAGCAGAAATAATATGAAAATTCCTTTTTTTTTATCTTTTAGTCATAGCGGTAGAGTAATGATAGTACGTGCAAATATATTATCGTTGTTTCTTTTATTAAATAATTTATATAAGTTACAAATATATGATAGCTATCTGACTTTTACAAACTATGAGAAAAAAGTATATTATTTAATTTTTGCAACAATGTAATAAATTTGGTATCAGAGGACAGCTTGTTTTTAAATTCTACGTTTGCTATATCATTTGTATATTGAATATCAACTAATATTAGGAGTCGTCTTAATCAGACTCGGCTTTGAGTCAAATCACCTGACACACATGTGATATATGTATTATTTACATATAAGAATTCCCGTTTCTTAACAGGTACAAGTTTTCGTTTTTTTCTTGATGGTTTTTCTTCTGTAGAATGATCGTTTTCAAGAGAAGTTTAAGTATCTTCAGCCTCGGTAAAAGAATTGTTAAATGGATAAGAATTTGTAGAGGACATCGAAATTAGCGTATTAGGGTGAGAGATACACGGATGAATGAATAGGAAAAAAACAAGCGGCTTTTTAATATCGTTTTTAATAATTAAATTTTCCATTTTTGCTAATGCAATTATTTTTTATTTAAATGAAATAATATCCTTTTGTTCAGTGTTCTTAAATATATTTAAAAGGCTCGGGTCAATCAAGATACATTGTTACAAGTGAACCCGAATTAGGTAATACATTGTATAATCAGGTGAGCGCGAATATTATTTCGTCCGAAGTTTTGAGTCATCGATTGCCGATTCAATTTCCCATTCTCTTTATTTAGGATTATTCAATTCTCTAAATTAGAATGTATTGACGAGTAGTGTTTTAGGGTCGTTAGTTATAGAGTCGCTGAGATCTGTTACGCAGTTTGTAAGATGACCAATAAAAAATATGACAATGAAGCGACTACATACAAGAATCATTTAGCAAGAGCTATTCCTAAGCTTAGCTATTTTACATGTTTATAGTTGTTTATCTTTCTCTTGCCACTATCATCGTGACGTTGCTTATTTTTTTAACATTCCTATATATGTGCACAGCCCAAAGAAAAATTTTTAAATTCTTTTTGTATTTAATCATTATAAAAAGAATAGATAATTGTTTTAACTTCGAATTTTGGGACAAAACATTCACAAAATTATATGCACATTTGGATTTTCAATTAAAATAATATTTAATTTGTTTTTAAATGGAAAATATCACAATTAATATTAAAAATTATTGTTAATATAAAAAGATTTGAGGATGTTTGTTATTAAATAATTATATTTTTTATAATTATAGTAGCTTATAAAAATAATGCAAAATGTGAATTTTTTCTTTATATAAAAGTTTTCAATTTTACTAATCAAGATTTTTTTGTACAAAATATAAATTTTTTCAAATTTTTTATATTTAATCTGAAAAAGTCTTTCTAATTGCAAAGTAAGTTGATTAATTTTTTATAATTAAAACATATAAAAAATTAATCAACTTATTTTGCAATTAGAAAAACTTTTTCAAATTAAATATAAAAAATTAGAAAAAAATTTATAATTAAATCTCTTTATAATTGTCACTCACAAAAAAGCAAAATAAATAATTATAAAAAGATTTTTTACTATATTATATATAAATAAGAAAATAAAATAAAATAATTATAAATTTTTATTTATATTTTATATAATAAATATTTGATTAATAAAATTGAAAACTTTTATATAAAAAGAAAAATTCATATTTATTATATTTTATTAGTAAATTTTAAAAATAATATATTACTTTATAAAGTATTATTCAATTTGATATTTTTATTATCAATTATATATTTATAATTATATTTTTTAGTTTTTTAATTTTTAATAATAATTACTTTATAATTGCATTATTTTATAAATATAATTATAATAAAATTTTATAATAAATTTACTTATAAAAAAATATTTTTATTATAATTTTTATATAATATAATTATAGAAAAATACTTTTATATATAATATAATTATAAAAAAAGTAACTATAAAAAAGTTTAATTAGTTTATAATTATATAAATTTAATATTATTAAATTTGAAATATATTTAATAATTATATATAAAAATTTATTAGTAAAAACCAAGCAAATTATATATATTTGGTTTTTATTAATAATTTTCATATAATAGTTTACAAAAAATAATTTTAAAATAAAGATAATAATTTATATTTTAAGTAATAATCAAAAAAATATAATAAATTTATTAATAAAATATAGATTTTTTTTTATATAAAAGTTTTCAATTTTACTAATTAATATTTTTTTCAAAATACAAATAATAATTTATATATTTTTTTCAGATTTTAGATTTAATCTGAAAAGCTTTTCTAATTACAAAATAGATTGATTAATTTTTTATACTTAAAATATATAAATAAATAATTAATTAATTTACTTGTAACTTTCTCAATTAAATGAATTTTCAAATTAAATGAATTATTATTTGTCTTTTTGTATAGAAATAATAAATTTAATTAGTAAAATTAAAAATCTTTATATAAAAAAAATTCATATTTTATTATGTTTTATTAATAAATTTTGATGATATATATATAATTATTTTTTCAAAAGAACTATAAAATTATTCAATTTTACTATATAATATAAGTTACTATATATAAATAATGTCAATGTTTGAGATAAATTCATGTTGTATTGATTTGTTTGAAGCTATAGTTAATACGTAAAATCTGATACTAAAACTTTGTTATGTAAAACTATTTACAATCAGGGTTCAATTTAACGACTATGCGATTTAATGAAATCGCGGATTTAGTGATGTCTGTTGGCGATATCTTGAGATTTGATTACCGACTCATTGGTAACTCGAGCTCTGACTACATGCTTAAGCATGTCATGATCTATTTATTCATCGTGTAAGTAAAGTGTGTACAGATGTAATGTTTCTAATGTCTTGATTTTGAAAATGTTGTATACTAAAATAATACTAAAAAACTTATATACAAAATTTGAGAAAATGATACTGATAGTTCATTATTCACGTTATAAATATGACGAATATGATGAATATAAATGTTGATGATGAATATAAATGTTGATGATGATGATGTTGTTGATGATGGTGCACAAGATATTGTTACAACAAGAAAGTTTTGTACATTTAATTAATTTAATTATCTATATGAATCTAATATTTCTATTTTTTACCATTTCTTCCACGAGTGACAACACGCCATTTTTCTGTATCACTATCCTCTTCATGTTCACTACTTCCACTTCCCGTCTCTTCACTACTACAATCTCGTCCAATACAAGCGAACGTATAGTGTTCGTGATGGTGGTGGTGAAAATTATTAGGCTTGTGAGAACTATGAGGTGGTGGTGTTTGTTTTCGAGTATTAGTGACACCAAAATCTCCACTGTTCTCATTTCTCTCCCCTTGTTCATTTTCATCGTCTACTTTTGTCGACGTGTCATCATCACTTGGACTATTATGATGATTGTAAGGTTCAATATCGTGGTTTCCTTTATCGTCAATATCAGTTTCATTATCGGTGACGTTATCTTCTACTACCACAAATCCTCTTTGTCTTTCTCGTTCATTCCATTTCAGGCATCGTGTCAGTGAATTAAACCAATCACGTGATTGATTATCCAAACACACGGACGGAAATGGAAATTTTGACGGAGTAATTTTGATATGATCTCCCCCTATTATATATACAACAATCATTAATACATACATATTAAAGTAGAGGGACAATAAAATTAACTTACTTTTCAATTCGAGTCTACCCCGTCCATCAAAACTAGCCCAAGCTGTGCTTCTACTATTAAATGGAACACATATCCGGAGTTCCATTGAATCAGGTAAAAGCATCGGTCTAAATGATAAAGTGTGTGGACAGATTGGAGTGATCAAAAGTGCCGATATCTCTGGATGAACAAGTGATCCACCAGCTGAAACAGAATATGCTGTTGATCCAGTTGGAGTTGCAACGACTAAACCATCCGCCTGAACTGTGGTCATATGCTCATCATCGGCTAATTGATCCGTTATAAAATATTAGATTAGATTTATTCTTGCCATTGGACTATAGTAGACATCGGAAGATGATGAAAACTTACCAAATAGTTCTAATAAACTCATGTAGGGTCCTGCACCACGATCAACTACCAAATCGTTCAAAACTTCGAAAGTTTCCGCCGGCTGAGTAATAAAACACGGCAAATTCTTATCGAGTGCACAATGGTGCTCGACTGTTGAACCAATAGGAGTTTTACTTTCCACAGCATCCCAACTTCCATTGCCTTTAATTAAATTTTCCATCATAATTTCACCAGTCTCACCGCATCTTTTTGCCACCATTTGATTGCCGGATGCGACGACGCGACGATACACGGTGCATGTGAAACGCATTCGAAGATTCACACGAATTCCTTTTTCCATAGCATCAGCAAGATGTTCAGGATGAGTTTGAAAATCAAAATTTGTCAAAAATCCCAAAGATCCCAAGTGAAACGACATCACCGGAGGAACAACTTTTTGAAACAACCATGATGTATAGAGAACAGTTCCATCACCACCAAGCTAGATATGAATAAAGATGAATATCTTTGCTTGCATTTGCCTACATGCCCTCCTAATCAATCGATACTTACCGTAAGGACAAAATTAAAAACCTCTGATTTTTCCGCGCATAATTCCTTTGTCCAGAATTTAAGATGGTCTTTGACCAATGGTGATAACTTTAACAACTCTTCGTATTTGAATCTTTTTTCATTTTTGAGATTTTCGTCTACATACACGACAACACCATAATCTTTGCCATATCGAGGCGTTGTTATCAAATGCATGGCTAGTTCTCGCGTAAGTTTAACAAGACGAACATCACTTGGCTTGGTAACAAGCATTACCGTTTTCATGACCGTTCGAATACGCGCTCGAGCTAAAGAAGGTAATTTGTTAAATCTGATTGAAAAGGATAATATTTATGTATGTATATAAACACATACCTAATTTCTTTGAGATTTCTCTCACACCAACAGCAGTTTCAGCCAATTTACTATAATTTGTGGTCTGTGGATCTGTGTCAGTTTGTACTTCAAGTTCGTCCAAATGCGAACCTGCCGACGGATCCAGGTAAGAATACACGAAATATGGTGATTTGGGGGTTAACATTTTAGTCGATGTTCCGGCGGTTTGTGTTGATACAGAAGACACCTTTGCGTCATGATTTCGGAAACTTGGTTTTGTAATTCGAAGTGTTTTCCCACGAGAATTTTGTTTAGTGTCATTTCTGGAGTTGGAATTCGAGTTTGAAGTTGAATTTACAGTTTCTTCTGGTTCTTTTTTCTTGGAATCTTCAAGTTTTGAAGATGGTTTTGGTAGTGATAGCGAAGAAGAAACCGAAGGGGCTGATGTCGTAATAGTCGGTGTTGTAACAGTAGCGGTCGACATAATCACGTTAATTTCTGTTGCTGCCTCTTCAAAACTATTATTGTCTATGGTTTTGATATTTTTATCGTTTTTATTGCTATTTTTATTGTTTTTATTTTTCTTTTTCGACGATGATGATGATTTCGAATAATCGGATTTTGTCAGTGTGACGTTTTTTATCGTGGAGAACAATACTTCTTTCATTTCTTTAGATTTCTTGTATAATAATTTTTGGATGATCGAGAATTTGGTAAATAATACACGTAGTATGATTATTGACAGAATGAAAATGCAGTAGTGTGTAATACCGATACTGCTGATATTTCTTATTATGAAATTGAATTCCATGTTTATTAATAATGTTTATAAAAGAAAGTTTTTTGACGACAAACTAAAACAAAATCCTAGCATGTCCTTTTTATTTTCGATTATCAGCATGAACATAAGTATTCGGATGATAAGACAATAACTTCTCATATTTCTACGTACGCACCAATATACGATAAGCGTTGCATTCCGATGGATGGTTTTAGTAATTTGCGTAACTCTTCCATTTATTCCATTACAAATAACGATAACGTTAAATGAAGTTAAGTTTGCAAGTGTGAAATAGTTTCTTGTGTTTCAATGCACCGCGATTATTTTGCGCTCTTATGATTTCTTATCTTTTGGGTTAGGTTCCTTCGTTGAATAACTTTATAAACTTCTAATATTGAAACTATTCTAAGGCAAAACCCGTAATTAAAGTACACTTGATAAGCCAACTTTGTCAATTCCTGAAATTATTCCGGTCGGTTGTTTCATAAATCAAACACATATTTTATTAGAAACGCGTCTCGATTTCATAGTTCATTTGATTCTAAATATATAACCGTAATAAAATAAATATACGCGCGATAATGTTAAGTAATAGAATTTAATTTATGCGTATGGTATGCGTGTATATTAATTGAACATGTACGATAACGATTACTTCCCGTTACGGCTTATCATAAACACCGGCTAGCGATGCTAACTTGATTTATCAAAATCTGGCCAATCATTCGAAAGGTAACATAATTCGACAAAACACCAACTGTTCGCATGTCTTTCTCACATTGTTCTTTTTGTCAACATCGTTGTCAGGGAATCTTAAATTTACCTTATTTTACTTTTACACCACCTTCAATATTGACTTTTCACTGGTTATATCACCAACCTTACGACCAAGCACAACATTTGACTTGTGAATATTCAAATAGATCTCTAATGATGGCACTTCATCGTAACTTTTCTCTACATAAGAAGCGGCGATCCATGAAGAATAAGGGCTATCTTAATATTGGTAATAATGATAGCAATGGGTTAAAATTGCATATTGATAAATCAGATAATTCGGGAAAGAGGCGTGACTGGGAATTACCAAGGAAAACTTTGCATTCATCAATTGGTACATAATAATATTATTACTTTATTCAAAGCGTTCGAAATTCAATATTAATCGATCAAGATTTTATTTTCTTATTAGGATTTATCGTTTTCTATCTTTACTCTAGAGATACAGATCCGATTTTAATAAGGAATTACCTGGTAATCGCATTCATATTCATATCGGCTGTGGATGCCTTACGATTCAGCAACAGAACGATCAATAATCTATACATAAAGTTTTGCGGGTTCTTAATGCGAGACATTGAAAAAACCGAAAAGTATAATGGTGTTATTTATTACCTTGCTGGATGCATTGGAGCATTGACAATATTTCCAAAAGTATGTTATCATGGAATGTAACGTGTTATGCTTTGATTGGAGGAACTGATGTTAGTCTATTTGTATGTACATGTACTAGGACATTGCCGCATTATCAATCATAATCTTAGCTTGGTGTGATACAGCGGCATCTTATATTGGGCGAATATGGGGACATTACACATTTAGATTTAAGAATGGTAAATCATTGGCTGGCACATTAGGGGCCATGACATTTGGAGCATTATCTGGTCTATTATTTTGGGGAAGTGACTTGTTCATTCGACGATATGTTGTCAAAGGTCATCAAATATTCGACACTCCAAGTTGGCAATCAGAGAAAATTTCGCTACCTGTATTAGTGCTTCTAACTGGCGTGATCGGAGGTGTGAGCGAATTAATTGATCTTTGGGGTCTAGATGATAATTTGGTTATTCCGTTGGCAGCTGGGAGTATGTTGTGGATTCTGTTGAAAGGGTTTAGTGGTCTGAGTGATGTTGGCTCTTGGATTGGAATAGTGTAGTGTACAAATGTATATATATTATATATTTTTAATTTTTTTTTTATTTATACATGTATTTATTAACAAATCAACTAGTCGATCTTTAGAGATAAGCCAATTTTAGAGAAGTGATTACAATAATAAAAACAGATGATATCATCGTACATCAATTCCATATCTAAAAAATCTGCACCTTCCCCATCAAATATGGGAATCACGCTTACTGGCTGCTTTAATATCTAAAACCTTAGTTCCTTAGAATCACATATCTTCTGAGAGTCAATATTCCGTTTGATGATGTGAATACATAAAATCTTCAAATCAGTGATCCAGCAAATTGTTGCTATGTGCTCATTGCAAACAAAGTTCATGAACCGATCCGGGTTTTGGGCGGAATTATGAAGTTATGAAGAGAATTATGGAATTAATGTTATCGTTATGATTTATAGAATTATCCTTTATTAAAGATGATTTTACAAATGCTAAACGAATGTAACGTTTCTCGGTCAGGAAGTTTGTAACATGAATCGAATATATGGATTTTCAATTTTCTGATCACAAATGATAATGACCTTGGGAATTTAAATTTCCTATATTAGTTGAGAATATATTCGCGTCAATAATAAAAGTGTCATTATATTATTAATATTTCTAATGATTGAATTGATTCTCGTTATAGTGGAGGATTTTACCCCTACACTAGAGTTTTTGGTTAAAATTACGTAATATATATATATGTTATATTATATTATACCTATAAACTTTAAGTATGAACATTATATTAGGGCTTGGTCAGACCTGGTCCAAGAGTCCTGAACTTGAGGACCTTTGCTGTAGTTCTGATTTTTACTACTTGCCGTCTTCATGATATTCCAATTAATCTTCGGCGTATCTATATAAAATTCCCGAAGTATTGAGAAACGATTTGATATACAATTGACCGCGAATGCTACGGCGCTTAGAAGGTAGCAAAAGGCCGCTAATTAAACATCTCGTCGATAATGTGAGATTCCTTGGGTACAAAATTCGGAACGTACGTGATGGGTGATGGGTCGCTCGTAGCAGTAATGCCGGTGATATTCTAACTCTCTGGCAGTTTGACCGCCTATTCAAAAATAAACGAAGGCTCGAAAAACGCAGTCATCGATGTATCCTAAGATCTCGGAGCGTTATCAAGATGGACTGCGTGGAGAAATTCTCAATTGCTATTCCGGTAAATTGTATTTCTAAGGGCATAATCATGATAAAATATAAAATAAATTTGGAAAAGAGCTATCATGCTAAATGATCAGACTTTAAAAAATATAAGTGTAATGCTTACCAAGAACTTCCTAAAAGCTTCGTGGTATTGAAAATATGATGCCTACAATTCTATAATAACATCGCATCTCCTTCAAGAAAGACGGTACCGGAATCCTATATCTTTTAACAATCGTCTTTCTTTAGGGTGGTCTCACATTTTCACACATTCTGCTAGCTCCTTAGTTATTTCAGAAAGAAAGAACGCGGGACAGGTTCCGCGCATTATTATAAAAGGTATCAACTGCGATTCGCCATTTTCTTGAAATGCTGCTATTGCTGGTAATTCTTGTCGTCCTGAACCAACAGTTTGACCATAAGGTTAGATTTTTCGAAGGCTTGGCGCTTGTTCTTGATCCACACGTTTCTAGGTTCATCTCTTCGCGAGATAGTCTCTAAACTGTCTATCTTAGATAGGCCTATACACAATGCTTCTTTGATAACCTCTCCATCTTGGGAGGACTTTCTCCAAAAAAACTTTCACCATAACTCTATCCCAAAAACTCAAATTCGTTATTACTCCATCGTGAGCCTGAGTTGTGACACATTTTTTTGCGCTGTTTCTTAAAAAACGAAGCAGCATTTTTGGTTTGCTAGCATAAATAATTCTCATGGTTTGAGGTGAAACAAGTGGTTACGCGATCAAAATATGGTGTTCGTTTTTAGTTCATGTGACCACAATCATGTGGACACTCACGATTGGCTAATAGAAAATAAAAAATTTTTTTCGACCTTCATGTCTTTCATCTTTTCGACAAGCTACAAATGAATAAATACTCGTATCAACACCATGCTATCAACACAAGAAGTGAAGTTTCTATTTTGTTCATTAAGCATATATAATTGACGAGGACGAAGTTAATGATAGGAGGTGTTCAGCATTCTATTCGAATGAACATTGTATAATCTTTTAACAATAGGAAAATTGTCTCCCATGCGAATTTTATTTTCACAATTACGCCATGTGTGTGGAGTAGAGAAGTGCATAAAGTGAGAAGTATGGAGCAAAAAAAGCAAAAACGTAGAGCGAGAAATTTTGAATATGATTTTTTTCGACGAATATGAGAAAAAATATCATTTTTTACTCATTTGTCATTAATAATGAAGTAACAAAGTAGAAGCTATGAGAAACTCCTTGTGGGAATGGGATGAAATTAAAGAGAATAAAGACATTTCGAGTATCTTTCAAGAAAACCACAAATTCATGATGAAACACTTCCATTTATTAGATGAAACTGGAAAGTATTTAATTTATAGTTTTTTAGCATCAAAAACAGTCCTGAAGTCGTTATCGATATTTTTTTCCTTGAATATTTAACGATCATCCAACGTAATCGTATAATAGATCACGTATTCTGACTCAAAACCCAGTTTCGTAATTTACCTTCATCAATAAACCTTATAATTTAATTAATGTGAAAGATATTTCAAAATATAAAAATATCTGTATCGCAATCAAAATTCAACTGGTGTAAATCGTATTATTGTGTGTGTGTGTTTTTTTGCAATCCCAGATCTTAAGGTATTCTTTAACTCCTTTAGAGTTTAGAATATTCTAAAGAGCTGTAATACTAAAAATACAGTTTGACTCTTCTGGATCAAAGTAAATCATCACCGTTTTCTGGAATAAGATCCCAACATTTTTCGATAATAAATTTACATCAATTGGAAATATTATTTGGTATACTCCTTTATAGATGACAAGATATATATCATGACTCTGCCCACGTTACATTTCTGAACTAATACATGTACATGTACGTATAAGGAAGTACGTATCGGTATTCCGAAAATTTGTGATTAGCGTTAGATCAACAATTTGAGAAATACTATATTTCTAGCGCTAGGGTGAAAGTCACGATGCACAAATCCCTCTTTGTAAAATTTTCTCGAATTATAGGTAATATTATTTGAATGATTTAATTTTGTAATTTCAAGTCAATTTTTCATATCGGAATTAATATATTTTCGTAGACTATAATCAATTACTACCTTGCGTTGGAGTTTTCATGATTCCATATTAATTGTGGAGCAGTCAGAATATATTTTTGGGATTAAAAGTACGATGCTTCATTTTTATTTCGATTAATTTTCTGTAGTGATTTCAATACAGCTTCAAGTTCTTTTATTTTTTTCGGTCATAATCGTGCAATGATGTTTTATAAATTGTTTCAAAATCTTCTTTTGAACTTGAACCTTCTAAAGGGATCCATTTAAAAAAATGGTGTTTTAAATGATGATCAAGGATTTATATGCGTGGAAGTCCTTTATCGTTATGTTTATAAATCAATCAATTTCTGTGTTAAGAGTTTCAATAATTCCAATAAATTGGACATCAAATTTTTCATTTAGACACACATTTAATTTTTTTGTATTTGTTTTATCGTTGTATAAAAGAAGAATCATGTCTCCATTTGTGTATTTTTAGTTATTACTAAAAAAAACCATATCAATATCTTTTATTTGTGTATAAAAACAACAATATCGATACGCATATAACAATACAGTACTGTATTTCATTAATTTCTATCATAGTTAACTTTTTCTAAGTGTACTTCAAGAGACCGAATACAAACACGTCTTTATAGTGTATATATTTAGAAAATAAGTTCAATTTTAAGTACTTATCGTTATAGTTTGCAGATTGTGCATTTAGAACGAGCATACATTTATGGAAATTGCATTTAGAGAGAAAAAATATCTATATGATAATAGAAATATCAACTAATTGAGATGCTATTTAAATAAACAGGGCAAGTACATACATATCAATTAAATATAACCACTAATATAGTCACCCAATCAATCAATAAACCTAGCATTTTTGATAAATTTTGGTATATATTACTTATTTTTTTGTGACCAAAATGAAAGAATTTTACTGCAATATTCAACTTAGTTATAAGTACGTAGCAAACAAGAGGCTTACAGTCTCTAAGAGATCCATAATTCGATAAATATTGTTCTGATTAAAATGAAATTACTACCAAAATGTTCATCTTATTGAGGTGAATGTAATAAGATCGAGAAAAAAAGTTTAAAATCTGCAATCGGGAAAATTACTTGTCATGATGAGCTCCTATTAAATTTTCGCAAATTATCACTTTTTTATTTTTTTTTAATTGTTTCGTATTATTGTTGCGTTCCTTCTAATATTTATTCTGCGATGGTTGAGGGCACCAGATTATTGCAGTTATTGCAATAACCAATCGATTCAAGGAACTTCATGCAACGGGGTGGGAGTTAAACTGAAATATTTACGGCCGGAGGGTCTCTCCGGTTGTTCTAGAGGTTTCCCGTGGCGATTTGTTCACAAATCGGCCTTTTCAAAATGATGAGAGGGGTATTTGAAGATAGGATAGAATACTCTTGTAATAAGAGTCGATTCGTTATACTAAAGTTTTTATTTTATTTTAATACCAATTGATGCGAATATGACATGACTTATTGATACAGCCGGTCCAAAAAGAAACTCAATACAAAAAGGGCGATTCGACAGGGCTTATTGATACGGCTTGTCCAAGAAAACAAAACTAATTTCAACATGACTTATTGATACGGCCTGTACAAAGAAAACAAAGTCAACTTAACAGGACTTATTGGTACGGCCTGTTCAAAAAAAAAAGAAAATCAAAATAACAATTCAAAAGAATTCAACGGCTTATTTAGAGTGGAGGAGCATCCACTACTTGCAATCACTCACAAGGTTTGAAGTTTGATCA